CGGCGAACGCAATGTCCGGCCTTGTGTGGACTAGGTAGCGCAGACCGCCGACGATGCTCCGGTAGAGTGTTGCATCTACTTTCGCCGCGGTGCTATCCTTCGTCAGCTTTAGCCGCTCCTCCATCGGAGTCACGCATGGCTTGCACTCCACCATGCCGCTCCTCTCCAACAGCTTGGATGCATACGCGCTTTGCCTGAGCGTGAGTTCCTCCTTTCCCTGTCTCACCTCGATGCCGAGGTAGTAGGAGAGAGCGCCGAGATCGCTCATTCGAAAACGAGTTGCCATCTCTCGCTTGAAGTTGTTGATATCCTCCGTGCACGCGCCGGTGACGATTAAGTCATCCACATACATGCCGACCACGAGTTCTTCCTTCCTCCGTCGTCGCATGTAGAGCGCGTGCTCGGTTGCGCACTTCTGAAACCCAAGCTCGCCCAGCGTGGTGTCAAGCTTGGCGTTCCATGCTCGAGGGGCTTGCCTCAGCCCGTAGAGCGCTTTGCGCAGTCGGAGCACCCTGTGCTCCTCTCCCTTGACAGCGAACCCTGGAGGTTGCCTGACGAAGACCGTTTCCGCCAGTTCGCCGTTGAGGAAGGCCGATTTAACGTCCATGTGATGGACGCGCCAGTCCTTTGCTGCCGCCAAAGCAAGTAGCAAACGGACCGACTCCATGCGCGCTACTGGTGCAAAGACCTCCTTGAAGTCGATGCCCTCGCGCTGGACAAAGCCTCGGGCGACGAGGTGCGCCTTGTGTTTGACAATGGCGCCGAGCTCGTCCCTTTTGACTTTGTACACCCACTTCAGGCTGATCGGACGGCATCCTGGAGGTGGATCGACGAGCTGCCTAGTCTCGTTTTCCTCGATCGCCTTCATCTCCTCCAGCATTGCCCGTCGCTAGTTTCCATCACGCTCGGCTAGCACGAACGTGGGTGGTTCCTCTGCACTGACGAGTAGCAGCTCTGTGTCGTTGAGCAGCCTACCCGCCATACCTGAGGGACTTGTGCCGCCGATGATGTCGTCCATCCTGTGGAACCTCAACTCCTCACCTTCGTGGTAGGCGTCCACGAACTCAGTGATGTCACTTGGAGGTGAGGTGAACTCGATCAGGGGTGATGGAGTTCCTTCTTCCACCGGAGTGCCCTGCATAGCACCTGAAGTGCTCGGCACTGCTTCTGGACTGCTCGTCATAACTCCTGCAGTGTTTGACCACACTGTAGGAGTGCCCAGCCTCAGTCTTGGAGTGGTCGGAACCACAGTAAGACGTCTTGGCTCCGCCACGGGAGTGCTCGGTACCCGTCCTGAAGTGGTCGCCGCCACTGTAGAACCGCCTGGCTCCACTCCTGGCGTGCTCAGCATCCCTCCAGAAGTGCTCGACACTCCTCTCGGAGTGCTCGGCACGGCCCTAGAAGTGCTCGACTCTACCGTCGGAGTGCTCGGAGCTCCTCCCGGAGTGCGTGGCACCTGTTCCGCAGCGTCTCCACCGCCGTGGATGACCAAGTGCTCGACAACGAAGGTGTTGGTGAAGCCTCCCGCTTCCCCCGTGCTCGGACTATGCTAGTCCCAAGCTGCCTCCTCGTTGAACACAACGTCGCGCGAGACAGTCACCTTGTCTCCGCGTGGGTCATAGAGCTGGTACGCCTTGGTACCCTCCGCGTAGCCCAGGAACACCATGGGTGTGCTCCTGTCCTCCAGCTTGGTGAGGTTCGGTTTCGTCTTCCTGACGTGGCCGATGCAACCAAATGTCCGGAGGAATGACACGTTCGGCTTGCTCCGTATTTCAAGCTTCAACGGCGCGTCTTGCCCGTTAGAGCTTTGTTTGAGCGCGGTTGAGGATGAACACCGCCATGGTCACCGCCTCTCCCGAACTTTGCCGGCATCCTTTGGCCTTCATCATGGATCGGGCCATGCCGACCACCGTCTCGTTCCGCCGCTCCACCACGCCATTCTATTGTGGCGAGTACGCGGTAGCGTGTGATGTTGCCCCACACCTTGATCCGCGCGATGCGTAGCAAACTCCACCGAAGTGAATTCGCCACCCGATCGGTTCTCGATACACGGAGCTTCTTGCCGCTCTCGGCCTTCCATAGCGTCTTGAACTTCTTGATCGCCACCGCTTGCTTCGTCCTTGCTTTGTCGTGAGTTGCGACCCACATGTAGCGATCGCAATCGTCCACGAGTAGGAGGAAGTACCGCCGACCACCACATGTAGCAAGGCGTGATCGGCCCGCAGAGGTCGCCGTGAACTAGCTCGAGAGCTTCCTTCACGCGATACTTGGCCGCCTTTGGGAAATGTAGCCTCCTCTGCTTCCCGGCCAAGCAGCTGTCACACAGCTCGCCTCCGTGTTTGATGTGGGGTAGCCCTCGGACCATCTTCCCCAGCCGACCAAGCGCGTCGAAGCTGAGATGTCCGAACCGGGCATGCCACATCCACGGTTCCTCGGAGTGCCTTGCCGCTAGGCAAACCGGCTGCTCTACCTCCAGGTCGAGCAGGTACAACCGGTTCAGGGACCTCTTCACCTTGGCGAGAAGTCGCTGCTTCCGGTCTCTGATCCTCAGAACGCCGTCCTTGATCAGAACCTCGCTACCGCGCTCATCCAGCTGACCAATGTTGATGATGCTGGAACACAGCTGCGGGATGTAGTATACATCCGTTAGCGCGCGGTGCTCCCCATTCTGGCATCTGAAGATGATGGTGCCGCGCCCTTGGATAGCCACCCTTGAGCCATCACCAAACTTCACCGTACCGGTAACATCGCCGTCGAGCTCGGAGAAGGAGTCCTTGGAGCCCGTCATGTGGTTACTGGCACCAGAGTCCAGATACCACCGCTGCTCCTGGTCGACGCCCACATGCCCAAGATGGACTTGGGCGCGTGGTTCGTCGAGGTTGACGGTCTTCAGGGCCTTGCTAGATCCTTCCACTGTCGTCGCCTCTTCCCTCTCCATGGCCTCAACGTCGTGCAGTGCACAGAACATCGCCATAAGGATAGTAGCCTCATCCTCATCATCGGCTTTCGCCAGGTGAGCCTGAGCCTTCTTTTCCTTCTTGTGATTTGGGCACTCCCGTGCCCAATGGCCCATCTTCTCGCAACACCGACAGGCGTCGGAGTCGATTTGCTTCTTCACCGAAGAAGCCCTGCCGCGATGTTTGCCGTTGCCACCGCGACTGGAGGAGGCTGCCTTCCCGGAGTTTCGCCGAGCAGCCCACTCCTCTTCCGTCAGCAGGAGTTTCCCGCTGTCCTTCGTTGCTGTCGCCTGCTCTAGGCGCTCGTCCACCGCCCGTAGACGGCCTGCCACATCCTCGATGGTGAGGGTGGATAAGTCCAGCATCGTCTCTATGGATAGAGTGATCTGGATGTACTTTGCCGGCACGGAGTGGAGGAACTTGGAGACCGCCTCCTCTTCGTCGATGGTGACGCCGTGGCTCTTCAGCTTGCTGATGAGCGTCTGCAGGCGGAGGGAGAAGTCCTCCACCGTTTCACCATCCTTGAACTTGAGGTTTGCGTACTCCTGCTTCAGAAGCTGGGCCGTTGCCTTCTTTGATCGGTCGGAACCGACGCGCATCGCCGCAATGGCCTCCCATGCCTCCTTAGCAGAGCTCTTCGTCCCCAACGGTTCCCTATACTCCGCCGGTACAGCAGCGAGGATAGCCTCCATCGCTGACATGTCGTCTTCTTCCACGTCGGTGCCCTTGTCAACAGTATTCCAGAGCCGACGGGCTCTGAGCTTGACCTTCATGGTCACCGACCACTCTTTATAGTTAGTGCGAGTTAGGTTCGGCCAAGTGGTGCCGCTGACCTCCCGTACCGTGCGAACAACTACCTCCGGTAGTGGCTGGGCAGCCATGACAGTGCCACTACCGTCGCCCAACTCCGAACCGCCTGTCATCGCCATCAGTTAGAATGACGACGGCGCTTGTACGGCTCTGATACCACTTGTTGGCCCACAGTTAGCCTCCCGACCACCGAGATGATCTCCAGACCACTACAGATAGCCTCCAGACCACCGACCGTGGCCTCCGACCACTACCTGATAGCCTTCAGACCATCGAGATAGCCTCCAGACCACTCCGTTGGTCTCACAGGATCACCGGCTCACAACAGTGAACCACTCCAGCCGATCTTGCCGAACACCGGCTCAGGCGAGTGGAGCACTTGTCGGTCTCACCGAGCACGCGCTAGTGTTGTCGAGCACCCACTAGCCGTGCAGACCACGTTCCAGCGTTGTCCGTACCCACACACTACGGATCGAGCTAGAAGAGGAAGGGAGAACAGAGCAAGCACGCACAATATAAGGCAACAGCGTTGGCCGAAGCCCTGTCTGTGTGATGGCAAATCTGAGCTCTCTTTACTGAGTTGTCATACATGTCTATTTATACAACTCTAACTATCTAGTCCATGTGTAGCGCCCATGCTGGCACAGTAACTAGATACCCTGACAGGTCTGACTCTACGCCGGCCACTGCCTGTTCCTACAGTGCTGCAGGTGAGCCGTGCGGCGCTTGCACCTACAGCGACTACTGTATCACAGCAGGGGGCAAAGTCGGCGCCGCCTTCTCTTGCTGTGTTCACACACAGCAGGTAGATAAGTCGACGCCGCCTTCCTCTGCTGTGTTCACACAAGGTAACAGTAGATTAGTTAACAATGCAGTGCAATGTGAGCCACATATATACATACAGGTTCGGTTCTGTTCTGATGACCATCATCACTAGCTAGCTAGCTACCTTCCAACATACGTACTCGAGTGTATGTTGTGTGTGCCAGCTCAGCTCTTACCACTTCGCATGCTTGAGCAATTGAGCATGACCAGGCCTGGTAGGCAGAGGCCGTGCGCCTAGGCTATATAAACCCAGGCGAGGCTCTACCTTAGGTGTCAACAGCCCTAAATTAGCTTGACCCTTCTTCTTCCTACTAGCTCTCTAGCTGCTTGCTCTGGGTAGTTCCCATATCCCAGCCCCACTACACTAAACTATACACTACACAAGTAGCTAGCTAGCTAGTAGCAGCAATGGCCTCGGTGGCGAGCTTCCCGGCTGCGTTGTCCCTCGTCCTGCTGCTCGTCGCCAGCAGCGCCTTCCTCGTCACCGAGGTCGCGGCGTGCGGCGGCTGCCCGAAACCAACCCCTCCTCCTCCACCGCCGCCGTCACCCACCAGCACGCCATGCCCTCCGCCGCCGTCCAGCAAGTGCCCCAAGAACGCGCTGAAGCTGGGCGTGTGCGCCAACGTGCTGGGCCTCGTCAAGGTGTCCATCGGCAAGGTGCCCACCGACTCGTGCTGCCCGCTGCTGGAGGGGCTCGCCGACCTGGAGGCCGCCGTCTGCCTCTGCACCGCGCTCAAGGCCAACGTGCTCGGCATCAACCTCGACGTCCCCGTCAAGCTCACCTTGCTCCTCAACTACTGCGGCAAGAGCGTCCCCGAGGGCTTCCTGTGCGCCTAATATATATATTACTAGTCGTAGCTAGCTAGTTCCTCACTAGCTTCAATTGTCAGTTTGTTAAGCATGCAGCTGTTACTGTGATTCTTCTTCCTTCTCTGTGCCTCCTCCGGATGTTTTGTAACGCATTATATTGTTGGTTACATTGTTGCCTTCTGTTGGGTATATTATGTGGGCTTGGCCCGTATAATATTTAATAAATCAAATAAAACTCTATGTTACGTAATATTAAGTGTTGTATGGTTTAATATTGTATGAGATTTTGACTGAACGTTTACTCAGTTTATTTGGTTGAAAATTATTAATTTTAATTGAGAAGCTAAGAAAAGGACAAAGAAGTGCCACATGCGCACACCGCCGCCGCTGGCTGGGCCGGGGCCATGCATGGGCGCGGGCGGGCAGGCGGCGGGCGAGCGAGCGGACGGGCGGGCGTGGCCAGGTTTTTCCACTTAATTCACATAATTATGAGAGTTTCTCTCCTTGAAGGTGGAGGCAAGTTGATTGCGCCAGTTACCATCTCTCCGTCTCTCCGTGTCTCCGACTCCTGAATTCCTTTGCTGGCTCTCTCCCTCCCCACCGCAGGCATAAAACAGAAAGTCCTCCGTCAGTCCTCTTCCCTTCCTCTTCGCTTCCGAGAGACCACATCTCAGCAGCCCTTTGGGTTTTCCCGTCCCGTACCTCTGCGCGCACGGAGCAGCGGGAGAGCAGTTGCCTCCGGAACCCTCGTCCGCCTACGAACCTTGCATGGAGTGTGCGGCGATTAGGTTTTTGGGGAGCGATTCCGCGACTGCTCGTCAGACGTCTTCTTCCTGGTGATCGCTCGCGGAACCCGTCTTCTTCCTGGTGATCCGTTCGTGGGACTGCACTGCGAACACCTTCCTGCATCAACTGTGGTCTACGACTTCGAGCAACGCAGAAGAGAAACTCATTTACATCCCCGTAATAAAAAGAAGAAGAACATACAAGAGAACAACAATACAAAGCCTAAGCAAACTGCTCAGTTTAAGAAGAAAAATAACAAGAAAGGTGGAGGCTGCTTTGTTTGCGGGAGCGATGAGCATTGGGCAAGTGCGTGCCTAGACCGCAAATATAAGCAAGAAAAGAAATCAGCAAACGTGGTGATTAGCAAGACTGGAGGAGGAACATCTGGGTATGATAATTCTTTACCTTTTGTTCTTTTAGTTTGTCTTTCACCTGAGTAGTGGATGGATAGCGGTGCTAATATTAATGTGTGTGCTGATGTTTCTTTGTTTACTTCCTATCAGGCCGGCAGGACTGGAGCCTTGCTGATGGGAAACGGTTCGCATGCGCGTGTTCTTGGTGCTGGTACGGTCGTTCTGAAGTTTACTTCGGGATAGACGGTGCTATTAAAGGACGTGTAACATGTCCCCTCCATCAAGAAGAATCTTGTTAGCGGTTCTCGAATGTGTCGCGATGGCTTTAAAATTGTGCTTGAGTCCAATAAGTGTGTTGTGTCGAGACATGGAATATTTGTTGAAAAGGTTATGACTACGTAGGCTTGTTCCACTTATCTTTGCTTGATGATATGTGTAATAAAGTAGTGAACAATGTTAATATTTCGGATGAGTCGAATATATGGCATTCACGACTTTGTCACATTAATTTTGGCTGTCTCACGCGGCTTGCAAATCTGAATTTAATCCTAAAATTTAACTTAGTCACAGATTCTAAGTGCCAAGTGTGTGCAATCGAAGCAACCGCGCAAGCCTCACAAGGCTGCTGAGGCGAGGAACTTGGCACCATTAGAACTCGTTCATTCTGATTTATGCGAAATGAATGGTGAATTGACTAAAGGCGGTAAACGATACTTCATGACATTTATAGATGATTGTACTAGATTTTGCTACGTGTATTTATTGAAAACTAAATATGAAGCGTTGCATTATTTTAAAGTCTATAAAGCTAAGGTAGAAAATCAACATGAGAAGAAAATCAAACGTTTGCGGTCCGATCGCGGGGGAGAATATTTCTCAAATGAATTTTCTGAATTTTGCGCGGTGCATGGAGTTATTCATGAGAGGACGCCACTATACTCACCATAGTCCAATGGGATTGTAGAGAGAAAGAATCGCACTCTAACTGATTTGGTTAATGCCATGTTAGAGACTGCGGGACTATCTAAGGAATGGTGGGGTGAGGCTATATTGACAGCGTGTCATGTCCTGAATAGTGTGCCCACAAAGAATAGAGAAATTACACCATTCGATGAATGGTAGAAGAAGAGATTAAATCTTTCTTACCTACGAACTTAGGGTTGTTTGGAAAAGGTGAATGTGTCAATAAACAAAAAGCGAAAGCTTGACCAAAGACTGTTGATTGTGTTTTTCTTGGTTATGCTATTCACAGCGTGGGTTATAGATTTTTAATTATAAATTCTAGTGTTCCTAAGATGACTGTTGATACAATCATGAAATCTAGAGACACTATATTTTTTGAGAATGAATTTCCCATGAAAATGCACCTAGCACGACTGGTCATGAATTTATAATTCCCCTTGAGCATGAAAATTTCACTCAGATAGAACAAATTGAGGAACCCTATATACAAAATCTTGAGGAGGATGACACTATAGTCACTAGAAAAAGTAAGAGACAGGACTGCAGAGGACTGCAAAGTCTTTTGGTGATGACTATATTGTGTACCTTGTGGATGACACACCAACGACCATTGAAGAGGCATATTCCTCTCCTGATGCTGACTTATGAAAGGAAGCAGTACGGAGTGAGATGGATTCTATTATGTCTAATGGAACTTGAGAAATAGTTGATCGTCCCTATGGGTGCAATCCTATAGGGTGCAAATGGGTGTTGAGGAAAAAGCTTAGGCGTAATGGTACTATTGAGAGGTACAAGGCAAGACTTGTGGCCAAGGGTTATACTCAAAAGGAAGGTGGGGATTTCTTTTATACTTATTCACCGGTTGCCCGATTGACTACAATTCGAGTTTTGCTTTCCCTGGCAGCCTCCTATGGTCTTATCGTTCATCAAATGAACGTTAAGACAGCTTTCCTAAATGGAGAGTTAGAGAAGGAGATCTATATGGATCAGCCAGATGGGTTTATAGCAAATAGTCAAGAAGGCAAGGTGTGTAAATTATTAAAATCATTATATGGCCTAAAAACAAGCTCCTAAGCAGTGGTATGAGAAGTTCGATAGAACTCTAACATCTACTGGCTTTGTTGTGAATGAAGCTGACAAATATGTGTACTATCGGTATGCTGGGGGTGAAGGAGTTATTTTGTGCTTATATGTTGATGACATACTGATCTTTGGATCCAGCCTCAAAGTGATTGAGGAGGTGAAGGAATTTTTATCTAATAATTTTAAAATGAAAGATTTAAGAGAGGCTGATGTTATTCTTAACATAAAGCTTCTGAGAGAAGGTGATGGTGGGGTAACTCTGTTACAATCCCACTATGTGAAAAATATGCTGAGTCGCTTTGGGTTTAGTGACTGTAAACCTACTCCTACACCTTATGACCCGAGTGTGCTATTGAGGAAAAATCAGACAATAGCAAGGGATCAATTGAGATATTTCTAGATCATTGGTTCACTCATGTATCTTGCTAGTGCAACAAGACCTGACATCTCATTTGCTGTGTGCAAGCTGAGCCGGTTTGTGTCTATTTACACCAAAATTTGGAAGAAGAATCGCAAGGACTCGAAAGCTCCTAAGATAATGTCATCGAGGAATCAATTGCGTGCAAATCGGTTTCAACTAATTCGAATGCAACACTGGAATCGACTTTCTTCAGATAGCGCCAGCAGATAACGACGAAGGCTATATTCGGCGCCGGGACAAGACATATTGGACTCTAAAAAAGGGAAAGATTAGAGTCCAAGTTATCTTAAATTAGAAATGGTTTCTCTAGGATTGCGATGAGTCATGATTAGATAGAAGTCATGCGTAGGTCCCGGGTATAAATATCAAAGCCCAGCTATTGTAAAAGACACAATCAATCAAATACCAGTTATTTACTTTTTTCGGCTCCGACCACCCCTTAGGAGTAGGAGTACAGTAGATCTCGGCGAGTTCTTCAGCAAGTACGGCTACATCGATCCGGTCGACCTCCACTGCTTGTCTGTAAGTACCGTCATGGCTTATACCTCTGTTCGTACGGCTGCATCGATCCGGTCGACCTCCACTGCTCGAACTAGACTAAGGTCAAGTTATCGGCTCTATCTAAGGGTGGCGTTCCTTCGGATAGATTCATTTAGTTACCAATATTGCTTATTGCTTCCATTATTTATTTAATTACAGCAATATCACTTCGCCCGATTGGGATTAATCTAAATCGGCCTTATATCTTTTTTAACCCATCGTTTGTTAATCTAAACTGATCTAATCTGTACTTTAAACGATGAGTTATGTTTTATCGGCTGTTTTATATCAATCTTGATCGTGCATAGCGTGCGGTTAAGGTGTGTCTAATTTTGAGTAGATTTGTTGGCTAGCGAAAACCATTTCATGGCCCATTATCACGGCCTGTGTGATTCTGCCTCACACCCCACTGTTAGCACCATGGAGTGGGTATCGTTATTTGGTAGATCTGTTCCTAAGAGGGTATGAACTTAACTGTGCGCTATGCCTGAATCGACTGTTTTAGCCGATATCGAGTGCTTTCACGAACAGTTCACGTCACGAGATTGTTGAAGTAGCGGTAGGTTGAAAGATGTGTTAGCCCTATGATCTTATTATTGTATTACGGCCTGTATGATTCTGCCTCATGCCCCACTGATATTAATAATAAGTTAGGGTCGTCGAGTCTATTATTGTTTCTATGGCCTGCATGATTCTGCCTCATGCCCCACTAGTCACAGTGATAGATGAGATCTAATATGTTCATTAGATTTATCTCTATTAAATGATTTAATGATGATGAACTGTTTCTTTTATAAAGAAGTTTGGTTACTTATAGTCATTGGCTTAGCATGAACTAATTACTGTTGATATCTCTTTGCTAGTGACCAATATTTGTCTAA